ATATTCACATTAAATTTCAAAAAAAACTTCCCTTTTCTTGATATTTTGATTTGTAACTGAACTTTTTGATAGTTTTGTCCTAATTACTTAACAAATTAAGCTGGGGAACATTATTACTAAAGTAAGACTATAAATTTAATGAAAAATTGAAGAATTATGAACCACAGTAGTGGTTCATAATAGGGATCATTCATTTGTTCTTTTTTATTATTATTGTTGTTCTATCAGCCAACAGCAAAAACAGGATGCAAGTATTACAATAAAACCTGAGAAATATTATTAAACAGGTCATTGCACATTGCAGAGGGTACTTAAGTTATTTCTATATTTTTCAAAAGCTAAACAAATCATAATTCTAGCATAAACAATGTTATCATTACTGCTTGAAGTTAGTTTTCTTACAGATATCCGTTGTTCCTTTAAAAAGCTTAAGTACAGGGTGAAACAGGAATTACCAGCCAATAATAGATGAACATTAGATGACTGTAACATGTAGATATTCAATGCTTTGTACACTGTACAATTGGTGTCTTTAGGAAGCCAACCCCTATATCACGTATGAAGTAAAGGAGTAAGAAAAAAACAATACATATGATATTAAATTTTATTACACACATTCATAGAATAATTACTTTCAAATTCACGAATGTTTATTTAGAGTGATGTTTTAGATGTATATGTTTTATACGAAAGGCTGCTTTTCGACAGGTAAAATTTTATATGTGCTTAGTGGAGGTTGCGTCTTAGTCTAGGCATATATATGCCCATTGCTATGCATTATATATTTGGAAAATTCAGTTAGACGGAAACTATATGTGCTCAGTATATTCTCAAACAAATCTCCATGACAATCTCCAGATGCAGCTTATATTTTTACATCTCGAACTAATGTGATGAAATAGTCAATAGCTACAGTAAATCATTATGTACCATATCAGCTAGCCTCCCACAACAGATATTTTTAAGCCATAGTTTTAAAGATAGCATCAAGCTCAGTTTTGAACATCAGATTGACAATCATGGTGATTGCGGGTCCTAAGTATCAAATTATAGCCCACACTGCCTGATTGCAAATGTTATAGATACTGCAGATAGAGTAGCCATCGTTGAGGTTGACTACAAGGAGTGGGAAAAATCATGCAAGCAGGAGATGGCAAAAATGATAGCAATTCTAGGTGAAAGTGAGGCAGAAATTTTGTAGCTATATATTTGATTTAGAAAATAGTTTCAAATAAAGTATGCAGCAGCAATGGGTCATCACAGGTTAGGGTTGTAGAAGTGTCATGACCCAAACTCCTTCAGAAATGTAGGGGTGAGTGATTATAAATATAATAAACTCATAATTGTTAATCAACAAAATTTTGACCTTGTACAGTGTGCAGAATTTCACTAAGAGGAAACGTGGTGAGCTGAACCAAAACTGTAACTGGCCTTACTATGGCCAGTGGAGAGGAGGTAGAAAAAGTGGGAAATATAACAACTATAAGAAATATTAAAAATGCTAATTTGTATACATATTCTATTATATTATGACACATTTTCTTATATTTGCATTGGATATATATGTATGCATCTATACAACTTGAAAAATTCATATGGCTATCTTTGTATTTACAGCTTTACAACTTAAAAACTACAAAGCCTGCATGTATATGTGTAGATATAAATAATAGTCAATAGGCATTGCATGTGCATGCCTGTATAAAACTCATGCGGTTATAAAATCCAGTCCATGCACCATTCCAGTAGAGTTCAATAGTCCTTCCAATCTAGTGTTTACACTTTCCATATAGCTGCAGGATATAAATATACTAGTTATATACAATTTAAAATCATACACATAACATGTGATATGTTGATCACAAAGTATCACAGTGATCATACATACAGTACCACTATCAAAGATAACACTGTGACAATGATATGAGGAGCAATAGTCATCCAATCTGCATGAAGCCAATCCAAATGTTATCATTGTTTCCCAACAGAACATCATACACCAACTACATATGTCATTCAACTAAACTGCTTTAAATAGAACAATATTGCTATTACACACACTTATGTCCATGATGGACATAAAAAACATTAAAGAAACAATATTACTAAAAATTTTGAATTTAAAAACAGAAATAGGGATCATAAAAAAATACAGAAACAAAATAAGTAGATTAGAATGAAAATGCAGTCATAAAAAAAGTAAAAAAGAAGCTTAAGGTTTGAGACACAAGATAACTAAAAAATTGGGAAATTTAAAAACCTGCAAATAGGGATAGTAAACAAGTTTAGCACACAAGGCTGGAGATACTGTAGACATAATTTACCCAAATTACAAATCCCTACTTTGACTGCATGCTGCTAGCTAGAATTACATTTAGCAGAGTCAAAATAGGGATTTGTACCTTGAATAAATAATGTCTACAGTATCTTCAGCCTTGTATGGTTACTTTGTTTACTTTCCCTATTTGCAGGTTTTTAAATTCTCAATTATTTTAATTATCTTGTGTCTCAAACCTTAAGTTGCTTTTTTACTTTTTCTGAGACTTCATTTTCACTTTAAGCTAGCTCTCTTGTTTCTGTATTTTTTTATGATCCCTATTCCCACTTTTAAATTAATAATTGTCAATAATCTTTTATTAAATACATGTTACAACAAAATATCCTCTTTATAGATTGGCTGATGAGTCCATTAAACAAATGACAAACTTTACAGTTTAGTTATACGATGTGTAGGAAAAAATGTTATATTAGTTTTTACATATATCTAATACAATGAATTAAATATTAACCCTCTGTTGCACAATGTAATTTAAAGGTAACAAATCTACCTTTCTTGCTTAATACACATACAAATGCTTCAGTTTTGCAGGTGAATGCTCTTACTTCCAGGTGACAGTCTAAATATACCATAAAATTATTTCTGTTGGTCTCTTGATTGAACAAGGTTACTTCTAGGTAACATACTTGTTTATAACTGACCAAAATATATTTCACAAAACTTTCTTTTTGTGTAATATTGATTTATTTAAGTTAGAAACTCAAATAAAATAATCTTTCCCCCATATTTTCATAATGCATGCAATAGAGGGTTATAAAAAAACAAACAGAATGACTTGGACAAGCTTATCTTCAAATTAGGATCTTGTTTGCTATCAAGCCCACAAAACCCTGAAACATTCAGGAATATACATAGGGTCAACCATCAGATGGATGTTTACACAAATCAAAGAACACTCAGATATAAGACCAGAATCTATGTCTATCATGCTTTATAAAAGTGATCAATTACTTTGTGCTGGTGACTTCAGTGTTACTAGATTGGCTGAAAGTGAGAAAATACAAATCAATTAAAGAAAATAGACTACTGATCATTAAATAAAAGCCCTGCTTTGAGCAGAAAAATGTTCAGCAACATATTAAGAATGATTAAGTCAAATCAGGTTAATGTCAAGGATGAATCAAACTTCAGTTTCACATGCACCCACAAATACAATACACTGGATGAAAAAAGGGGTTAAATATTAAGCTCAGTTAACTTACATGTCTATGCAATAGTGTGGTCTTATTGTTCCCTCTGGGTCCACTACAACAAATTTCTTTGGTGAAGTGCATAAAACTGAAAATATAAATACAAAAAAAAGTATACAAAAGGTAAACAAGCTTCTTGTAACAGCAAAAAAAAAAAAAAATTTTAAGTATAATATCTTAGTGATCAAATAAAAATATATCACTAATTTCACAGAAATTCTGGCTTTTCTTCATCTCTAAGAAATACTGCAATTCATAAACACTGTGCCAAATCAAAATATCTAACTATAAGATTTTGGACTACAAAGAAAAAGAGGAACAGGGAGCTGTCCAGATATCTTCCTGATAAAAAGGTACAAGCTCTCAAATCCATGAACATTGCCAGAATCCTCTGGCATGGGCAGAAAGAACAAATGATGAGTAGGCAAACATTAACAATCCCTAAAGCATTACAAATTCACAAGTGAATTACAAAGCCATTTCCAGGAACCCAATTTACTGATTTTAACATAATATGAACTCTGCCAAGATTAGATAACTAACGTTTTATCAAATTTCATAGAAAATGTAGTAGCAGCTATACAAAATGTTCTAACAGTAACAATAGCATCTCAGCTATCAAAAATATACTTATTCAAGTAAAAAACAAAAGACTAAGAAAGAACCCACCAAAAGAAATTTTAATTTACCACACATTACTAAACAAAACATTAAGTAATTGTTCATCATTTACAGTCCTCTAAGTATACTTAAACTGTTCCCAACTTCAGTTTAATAATAAGTGATAAAGCTTAATGTCTTAAGCCAGAATTAAGTTCTTCTCTAGCATGTAATCAAACAAGGACAAGTCAACTTGCACCTGATTGGTTGCTGAACATAGATCACAACATGTTAACCAAGTCAACAAAGCAAAGATTCAAACTCCTACTGTTATTAATACCACTCTCATATTACTGCATGCATTAGCAATATTGGATATTTTGTGATTTTTCTCAGTTTACTCCTGCAATTCCATCAAACAAAGAACTGGAAACTTTGTACCTCAAAATTTTTTTTCATATATTTCAACATGTTATTCATCCTGTAACTTTTCTTTAACAATAACAGAAACCCACATTTAGATGATATTTAAAACAATGATTGTTCTGAATTATTCTACTTGTTACTAAAGGTGCTGTCGTGTGTATCAGTCATCACAGGGTATGATGACTACAAGTAAACATCGTGAACCAGATTTTAAGGATTTTATTAATTTTTATATCTGAAAGAAAAGTAACAAGAACAAAAAAAAAGAGACAAAACGATATTAATATCATAGATCACAATTCTGCATCTACATTCTACAGTCACAATTTCCCTTAAAAGTAGAAGACTGTTGCAAAAATATTTAGTAATGAGGCTCACAATGTCACAAAATATTTCAGTCTAGATCACTCATGGTACAAATAATGGATAGCTTAATCAGGTATAAGCTGATGGGCTGTCTTTACTGGCAAATATTTGACTATTTCATGCATGGTTGTTAGGTTTATGATACTCATTCTATTATATTTTCACCATTTCATGTTGCAAATTTTATACAATAACTGATGAAGAATTTAGGCTAGCATGCTTGTTAATTATTTTTTAATTGTAGATTTCTGGCAATCAAGTCTTAAGCTTATATGTTAACAATGGCATGCCAACAATAGTCATGACACTTATTTGCTTGCAGTTGAAGGTATATATATATAGGTCAAAGCCTTTCACTGATCAGTATCACCAAGTCAGGAAAGTTCCCATTTTATGAGTAGCATTTTCTAGACTTTTTTTTGTAAGACTGGGATAAACACAATGGTAATGGTTGTCATCAATGAAAATGTGCAATGTGGGATTGATGAAGCTAGAAATTCAAGGACTATTTTAGAACCTCTGTTAAAACTACCGGCTTTCTCGGACTTAAAATACAGAAAAATTTGGTTTCAAAACTTCATGACTTTCTAGGATTTTCATGACCTGAACAACAATTTTACTTCTCACCTAAATAATTCTTTTTTTCCTCAAAACACTATTGCTCTTCTCACAGAAATAATTTAATATCAAACTACTGCAATTAAATCTACAATAAAAGAAAGCTTAAAATAATTATAAATAAACTGTTTACAGAAGATCTTTTCAAATGATTCAATGTGACTTGGCACAAACATTTCTCAAACATAAATTTCTATAGCAGTAAATTGGTTACTTAGAGTAGGCTGGTTTTGGTTGGTGAAGTGACCTTGAAAGGCTGAATAATAGTGGTGTAGTGGAGCTAAATTGGACTGAAAGGTTGCTCCCAAACTTTTTTGTGTGTGTATGGTGTGATTAAAGTACGTGTATTTGTAAAATAAACATAAATTGTAGACATATTATTTTATAGTGTTAATCTGCATGTTTCAAATACTGTATTTGAAAATAATAAAATCCATGTTTAAAATGATGACTTAAAAATATACACAAGTAATATATTTTATAAACTGCAGATAATATATCAATGGCATCTTTATGGATACATTATTTTATTTTATAAACGTAATTGGTAAGTAGAGTAACTATAAACAAGTTAGATACCCGAAATGTAGCTTATATGTGCATATATATCCAAAGACCAGAAAGTTATTAGGATTTAGTTGGCACTCCATGAAACAAACAATTTTACCACTACACCACTGTTGAATAGCATTCTACATCCATACAGGCTTGTAAGTTCTTGAAGTCTTCAGGTATACTAATCACTTGTTTTTAAGAAAATTTGCTTCAAAATATCTAAAAAAAAAATAAATACAATAGTTACTTAAAAATGACTTTTAAGTTATTTTAGCCAAATAACTAACCAGTTTTAACAATGTGGGTGTAACTGTTACTAGTACTATCAAAAACTGTTTGAAAAAATAAAAAAATGCCAAGCACATACCTTGAAATTTTAAAGGGAAATCATATGGATTGTAGAGTGTGAGAATTTGCTTGTGAGATGATTGATCATCAGCATAAAAAGTGAGAGACGAGGGAAAGCTGAAGATAGGGAGTCTTCCATCGATAAGGTTGGTAGATTGCATCAAGATGATGGAGGCTCCAATAAGAAGTCATGAGCTGTTGATTTACTTTCAGGATCCTAAAATAATTAATCAACAGTCACAAATTCACAATATTGCAATTTATTATACATATAATAATAATATAATACATACGTACATTTTTATTTATATGATGCAATAGGTATTTGAGAATTTGGTTCTCCTGGGGTCCCCCTTTACCTCTCATGTGTAATGGGTACATAAAGAAAGTGAGAGAGGTATAACAAGAGTAAAAAACAAAAACAATACAGTATTAAAAAAAGTAGTAATAAAACAATAACAATATACAAAATTAATGATGATAAAAATAAATAAAATCAAGCAAGAGAATAAGTAAACAGAAAAGGTAAATGCTATGCCTCTTTGAGTAAAGGAGACAAATCAAATGATAAATGTATATGGAACAAAAGCAACAAATGGTCAACTAATCAAGGCAGCAGGGATCTATAAGCTATATGACCCAGACAGTGCCTAAGATGTGACTTGATGATACTGAGGACTGGAAGGAAAAGATAACTAGTAACACTGATTGAGATTAGTAATGCATATTATGCATAAAATTACATGCCAGTGTATATTCCATGTATGCCTACTGTTGAAAGTAATACCTAAGAATTTGAGTATTATTGGAGTACTGTATAGTTTTAGTTCAACTTCTTTTAGTCTTAGGTATTTCTGGTTTATACTTCTTTGGAAAGTAATTGTCTGTGTTTTGGCTGAATTGAGGATAATTTTTCCATGTGTTACAACACAATGTAATATGGTTAAGTGAATTCTGAACTCTATAAGTTACGAGTGTGTGGGTGGAAGATGTACTCCAACCTGCTATGTCATCATTATACTGAGAAGAATGGGTTAGCAACTGAAGTGGCATATCATTGACAAAATATATGTCTGAAGACTGAAACCTGGGAAACTCCAGCATTAAACGTGAATGAGTGTGAAATTTCATTATTAATGCATATTTTAGCAGTAAAGTTAGAAAGGAAGCTGGAGATTCTACCTTGTATACGTGGGTGAGACATCATAATGTTTAACTTGAATTTTAGGTCATTATGCCACATAGAGTAGAAATATTTTCTAAGATCTAAGAAAGCTACAACAATTGTGTGTCTAAAACCATGATAAGAAGTTTCAGTTAACCTGACTAAGAGGTCAATAGTTGTCCGTGTTTGTGGCCCAAAATAATTCTATTAAGATACAACATTTACTGCATTAAAGTTACAAAACAACCTTAACATACAGAAACTTTACTTTGTATATTCAGAGAAACATCACAATAAACAATGACAATTTGATTCAAGGTTGAACCAATTACAAAAATTCTAACATTGATATGAAATAAAATGAGAGTATTTTGAAGGTCTTTAGAATATTTTCTCACTGACAGATTACCCTCATGAACCTAAAAGAAATTGCAATAACAGGCAGTTATCTTGCAACACATTAAAAACTACATAATCCAACAAAAGTAAATATATCCCAAGCAGATAAATTTACACCATGACCATCAAAGTATACCTCCACTCAGAATATAGATTGCTCTTTAGTCTATACCTACCTCATATTAAAAACCACTCAACATACAGTAGCATTTTCAAGATTACGAATCATAGAAATGCTAAGTATAGCATTAAATATATTTTTTTGATAAGTCATCAACTAGAGTACTGCTGGAATAAACCAAGTGTATTTTTCATATGGGCTTTCTTTTTCAGCTCATCTCCAAATAATTCTACAAGAAGAATGAGAAACAAGACCTTGATGACCCATGTTCCTGCACTGCAGATTTTAATGTAATAGAACAAGATTGCAACACAATTTATATGTAACCAAAAATATCAACATCATCAAAAACCCATTTACAGTCTTTCAAGAAAATGATAGTGCATACTTTAATTCCAAAATATTCATTTCTGGTCATTTTTTGTTCCTCCTGAAGTTAACACATACATGAAAACAAAAACTTCCAATGCTTCTTTATGTTTATTATCACAACCATCTATCTACCTTCTCACTGATAGCCGAGTCTATCATTTATGATGCAGAGTGTGCACTATTAATGTGTCTTTAGCTATGTGTTTTACTTCATTAAATTGTGAATCCTACTGTAGAACAGTGGAGCTATATTAACCAGCTTCCTTTGTCTTACATCTCATGTAGCACTTGGTTATTTTTTCTTTGTTTTACAACACTAAGGTTCCTCAGAAAACAGTGCTTCATCTGTACTAGATACTTATGATTTTTGGTCATAAATAAAACATTTAGGTGATAGCTTCTGGCTCTGCTTACAAACCTTTTTGCAAGTACCCTATCCAGTTTTCTAATAATATATCTTTAGCTCATTTTAAGGATGCCTTTCTTTATTAATTTCATCCAGTTTTCCACTATAGCATTATTATCATGTGCATAGCCAGTGTCACCATTACCAAAAAGTTGCAAAGTCAGGGCAAGACCTGTCCATAGTGAACATGAGAAAAGTCAGAAGATTATTTTCAAAGTTAGACAGTGGAAACTCATGAGCTTCAAGGTTTGAGCATTTGTTTGTTTGTTAAGCACAAAGCTACACAATTGCCTATCTGTGTTGTGCTCACCACAGATATTAAAACCTAGTTTTTAGTAGTGTAGGCCTTCAGACTTACTGCTGAGCCAGGTTCGAGAAAGATTTTTTTTGCAGATACATTAACAAAATGAGTCTCAAAATGTGATGTTTCTCTTAAATTAAATCTTACTTTCACTGTTGCCATCCAAAAAATTTTCTAATTCACTTTCAAGTATGTTCAGCTCAGATCCAACATCTTTAACAGTATAGTTGTCTGCTAATTTTCATGTGATATTTTTCTTAGGACTTCTTGTTTTTACTAAAGAACAAATTAACAAAAAGGGTAAAAAAGTTCTATAGATCTGCCATGAAGTTATATGTAGATGTTTGTATTAGTGCACTAAATTACAATGAAGTTATAGTGCAATTAACAGAAATGTAATCTATACAAAGAAGTTATAACTTATAATTTATAGCATACATTATTTTTATGACTTACACTTTGAAATCACCAGATTTGAATAAATGAATCACCAGAAATGAATAAAAAACTCTACAGTGAGATAAAGAATTAGCTGTTAAAGAGGTTATAATTATGGAAGAATTTAATTTTTGGCATACAGATTAGAAAATGTTTTAGAGTCAAATCAGGGTTTTGAGAAACTACTCAGCATGCTACTTTTGATTTATTGTTAACCTTTAATGTAAAAATGGTTGATAGGGAAGAGATTGTGGAACATCTGGATGCAAGTGATTATTGCTCAATTAGGTTTGATGTTTTGCTGCATATGGAGATAAGGAATAGCGAGATCTGGTTTCAAATATCAGAAAGCAAATTTTGAAGGAATGAGACAAGTAATATTTGCTGTGAATGAAAAAATAAGGATCTTGGTGTTCTGGTTGATCAGTCTCTTAAATCATCTAAGCAACGTGCTATTGCTAATGGCAGAGCAAATAAAAAATACTGAATACAAACCTAAAAAGGTTATAATATCAGTGTATAAGTCACTGGTTAGGCAACATATGAACTTCTTATCTTAGAAAGGATACTGAATTGTTGAATAGAGTTCAGAGGAGTGTAACTAAGATACCTGGAATGGTAAGGTTAACATATGAGGACAGGTTAAGATCTCTGAAACTGTTTTCTCTTGCAAAAAGAAGAGTTGGAGGGGATAAGATTAAGGTATTTAGAATCTTTAAGGAAATTGATAGTGTTGATGCATCATCTTTTCCCCCCTACTCAATGAGAATGTTAAGACTATGGAACACAAATTTTGGAAAGGTAGAAGCCATCTTCAGTTAAGATAGATTAATTTGTCTAACACGGTGATTGGCCTTTAAAGTGAGTTGCCTTCAAGTTTAAAGGTCATACATGGAGTTAATATAAACTTTAAATTAGTTTACGAGAAGGCTTAATTAATAAATATACGAATGATAAGTTCTGACTTTGATTTTTGAATGTTTTATCTTTATTGTTGAGTTTAGTATAGTGGATGAGATGGTCTAAATCAAGCAAAACAGACTAACAAGTCTTTTGTTGTCCTTAAATTAAAATACATATATAATTTATAATTATAGTTTATATTCAATAGTTAAGAAATAATTATAATTTTGGATGTGGAAATATAACTTATAAGATCAAATGCTGCTTACACAAAAAAGTACCTATCGTCATCAGTGGGCAGTATTAACAGTAAAATTACTTGTTTAGATGCTACTAGTAGTAGTCTAGTACTACTATCAGTAATACTAAAAGTTATTCTCTACTCCTACACTAACAAGTAACAGTAACAACACAGCTGACAACGATGGCGTATTACAAAACACATAATTGAGGACAAGTTTGTACAGATGGCGTTACGTGACTGAATCTTGTCTCTAACTCTCCAAAAGATTATATTATATTTGTTATTGATCAATTTACTTAATGGAAACCTCATGAACTCAAAGAATTGGGCTATAATTCATTTTAATTTCTTTATATTATAATAAAAACTTCCACAGGGTCAAGCAGCAGTGTTTCTAGTCAGTACGACTCGCGCTTGGCTTTGTAACTAAAAGAGAGGCGTATGCTAACTAAATTTAAAATCTTCTATTAACACCGAAAAGTATCTCCCTGTTGCTCAACATTTTAACCAACTCGGTCATTCCACTAATGATGTTATTCTCATCGGCATTGAAACAGGATTCCAAACTAAAACATATAGAGAAATAAAAGAAACTTTTGGATTGTTAATCTAAACACTGTTCAACCTTCCGGAATTAATCTAGATCCTGGATTCAATTATCTCCGCTCATTGGTTTCATCTCTCCCAGAAAAATAACTTTTTTCTTTGCTCATATGTACAACGCTAGAAACCGGGTTTCGATACCAGTGGTGGGCAGAGCACAGATAGCCCTTGTGTAGCTTTGTGCATAATTAAAAACAAACAATAATGTGAACACTGAATTTCCTAAAACTTACTATTTATTTAAGATAATTTGCCATACTTGTTTTTATAAATTGATTGGCATAACCTATTGTTGCGTCATCGAGATCACGTGACTATTCTCACGCCCTCTACTTTCTAGAACTATCCTGTACTTTGGCGAATGCTCTAGCATTTACTAGATATAGGGTAGTCTGGTATATAAAAGAGGGTGACAACGTGAAGGGAATGTGTGTGTAGATAGTGAGTAAATG